TGCTCTTTACCCTTGGCCTCAGGACTTTGCTGGGGATCTGGGGCAGGAGAGGGATCTAGTGGAAAATGAGCAACTGTAGTTCTGCTAAATATGTTTTCTGAGCAGCTTATGTCTCACTCCTGCTGCCAGAGCAATGTCTTGCTAAAGACGGTTTGTTTTACAAAGCATTTCACAAGTAGCTGAGCTGTTAATGTCACTGCTACCTGAGCAGATTTAATTGTGCTGCTTCTTGCTTTCAGCTGAGCATGACATGCTGAGAATGAAAATCACATACCTTGTGCCAGGAAAAAATGCTCTGGTCTAGAGCAATTTTGAGCCTGTGTGCCCCCCCCCCTCCAGGGACTGGCTCACATACTGTTCTCAGCTGCTTTCGCCGCCAAGGTTTGCTGGGGCATTTATTAAAAGATGCCTTTGATACCACTCACCTTTTATCATTACCACAGGTTTACTTGAAACGATGTGTCCCTCTTTCCTAGCATTACCATGTTAATGTGCTGCGTAGCACACAGATGTAAACAGAAAGTTTTGGAATTAAACCCCTGCTTTTCAAGTGCAGGCATGTGTAGCCTTAAATCTCTTTTTCTCCAAAGCGTGCACACTCTACTAACCTCTTCATTGTAAGAGAGGACTGAAAGAAGCAGCATTTCCCATCATTTCCTTAGGCCTAATGAATGCCTTCATACTGATCCCTCTTTGTCCATCATGGGCCTGTTGTCCTGGCATACATGTGCACCTTCTTGACCGGTGGATGTGCTCACCAAGTCTCTTTACATAATTTACAAGAAGTCTTGGCAAACTGGGCAAGTCCCAGTGGACTGGAGGGTAGCAAATGAGACACCCTTGGACTGACTCCTCTGCAAGGGGGAGAAGAGAAAAGACCCTGTAAAGACCAGACTAAACCTTAAATTTTGGGGAGAAACAGAAATTTAGTGGGGTTTTCTTCTTGGTTTTTAACAGGAAGGCAGAGAAGGGCACATGCCTGCAGCCTTCAAGCACAGAGTAGCTCACCTGTTGCTCATGCAATGCATCAGCTGCTTCCAACCATGCATCATAGAAAACAGCCAAGGAGAAAGGAGCACACCTGGTTTGAATGGAGAGAGACTTTGGAGTTTTTAGCACAATCTGATATTCAGTGACTTACCTTTATAGCACATTCACAGCTCTGTATATAGAAATGCCCACTGTTCCCAAGCACTAAATGTGAAGACCAGGCATATCCCAGCTCCAGGTGCATTCCCTGTGCAAACAGCAGTCACTCCATGCCCTGCTGTTTCCTGGTGCTGAGAAGCCCATAGGGTAGGACAAACTATCTTTGTGCAAACACATTATGTAAATCAGCATCAGTCTGCAAAAAGCATGATATTAATTCAGAGAGACTCTCTGAACCTGCATGAGTGAAGTGACACACTTGCACGAGTCCCTCTCAGATCAGAGCGGGTCACTTCAGAGCCTTCACACTCAGACTTACATGCTTGATTCACTACCATTCTGCAGAGAAAAAAATAGTCAGTATCCAGCTTGTGAGTCATTCCTGTGTCCTGAGCTGGGGTGGGGGGTTGGTTATGAAGAAGCTTCATAAATCCCAAAAAGCAGCATTTCAACAGAAATGCTAACAAATCCGTAGCTGCACTGGCATTACCAGCTGCAGCCTCCGAGCTCTGCGTGCCAGGTAATGATGCCACAGCTCTGCTCCTGCTGTGCTCAAAGAGCTGGGATTTCAAAGGGAAATTCTTTTAGTCAGACCAAGTAGTCTTTGAATACATTAACTTTAAACCTCCCCACAAATACTGGCAGCTGCTGTCTGGACTGCCCACATCTAGAAAGATCACAAGCCACAGAAATACTGATTTATAGAAATTTATCTCCTCACCTCATTACTGGGCTTTCCAGCAAATCTGTGAATTAACTCTTTAAAGCCAGACAACTATATTTTTTTCCATTTAAACAAGTCAATGTCTGTAGCTAGACAGTGAGGGCAGACTGTTTCCACCAAAGGATTAATTTAGTACTCCAGGGTAAAATATCTTTAAGAAGGGCATTAAACTTCAAAAAGCTGTCACAGGTGTTTTCACAGGTCAGTATTCATCTAGCCCAGCAGAGCTGGTCATCAGGGAGCCAACCTGCTATGCCAGTTTCTCCCATTGCATCCATCAGCCCTTGCAGGTTGCTGAAAACACCTGGCACCAGCAGCCACACTGAGCCTGCTGGAGCATGCCCTGGTGGGGAAGGTGCCTGCTGAAGCCTGAGCTCAAATCCAGATTAAAGCCTCTCTTGAGTCCCCATCAACCTGGGGTAAATCAGCCTTGGGTCCTACCCACCATTCCCTCTGCAGCCCAGTGCCAGAGGCACAGGACAAGGTCATAGTCACAGAGAGCCAGGAGGAAAATCTGAAAGTGATTCAGGAGTTTTTTTTCCAGTCTTCTTACATTTGGGCATCTCTCAGAAAATGAGCTGTGGCTTCCTCTGTGGAGCAATACAGCTCTGAGCTAGTGTGCATCAGCTGGCCACAGGTTGCAAACCTCTCCCTGCCACAGCATGGCAGCAACACTGGCAACACCTCGGGGTGTGTTTGCCTAACCTGCTTTTAAAGATTGCCAGTGACAGGAACCCCACCACCTTCCCTGGCAATCTGTTCCTGCACCTCTCTCTGCTCTCACTGTTTGAAAGGTTTTCCTACCATTAACCTGATCCTTCTGGCTGTAATTTAAGCCTGTTATCTCCCTGTGAACACGCAAAATAAATTACTCCTCTTCTCTTTGCAGCAGCCTCTGATGTACTTAAAAACTGCTCTCTTGTCTTCTCTTTAGACTAATGCCAGTGCTTATGGTGTTTTCCCTGGCCTTGTTTCTGACACATGTTGGTGCCCTGGGCACAGCCAGGACCCCACAACTGTCTCCTGGCACTGCAGTTGTGCAAGGGCTGCTTTGCCTCCTGGGAGCCCTATTCCCACCAGGGCTCATCTCTGCTGAGAAGCATCTTTTGAATTTTGGTAGTGAACCAAGCAGCAAGGATATTTGAAATATTTTACACCAACCAGAAAACTTTCAGCCTGGGATGTAGAGACCTCTGTTGAACATCCAAGATCAGCCCCTAGCTCAGCTTCAGGCACAGCTGCAAAAGAAGGTTCTAGGTAGGAGAAATCACTGTCCAGTGTTGCTGTTACTCAGATGGCCTCTCCTGGGTACAATTGCTGCTGTTAAACACACAAAAGCTTTTAAGATTTGTTGGAGAAATTGCAAGTCATTTATTCTCTGCATACTTTAAACTGTTGCATTTAACTCCCTAGCACTGCAGCTGAGAATTTAACCATAGTGATAAGACAGTGAAGGGCTCTGAGCTGCCCAGGAGGGACCAGCCATGGGAAGGCAGCTGAGCCTCTGTGCCCTTTCCCTCAGCTTTAAATAACCACCCTGCTCAAGGGCACAGCGTGCATGGGGGCAGCTCTCAGCCTCTTCTGCCCAGGGCAGCCCTTGGACAGAGCTCACCACTTCTCAAGGACCATATTTTGTCCACAGTGCACTGTGGCACCCTGCCCACCAGCTCCCCTCTGCAGACACAAGTCACAAGTGTTGAGTAAGAACCAACCTGTGCTGCTTTTGTCTCCATTTGGTTCCATGGCAGTGGACAAAAAGAAAAAAAGGTCATTTAATTCTAACACCTAAACTACAGCAAGTGCTGAAACAGTAAAAAATGAAGCCCGAGCTGCTGCTTCTCACATGAAAACTGTTGAATACGTATTTACTGTGCTGATTAAACATATCTGCTACTCTACAGCAGAACAGGGAATTAAAGCACCCTATTTGCATTTTTATAACAAAATTACAATTGATAAATAATTGAGAAAATAAGGGCATTTACATATACCATTACAGAGAGAGAGCATAGCTGCTGTATGGCTGCCACTTACTATCAAAAAGCAGAGTACCATGCTATAAGTAAAGCTTACATCACAGCAGCCACCTAACATGACAGCACACTGAATCCACTTCTTCTGTCAGGATATATTTTTATTAAGGGTCAGTATAAACTCCAGAAGATACTTTGAATCACTTCTGTCATTATTGACCCAAAATAGACAGCCCCTAATTGAATATAACTGGATTTTTAAATAGTCGGGTTTCGGGCACAACACAAGTATCTGCCATTTATAAGGCTTTCAGGTGATTTAAATTCATGAGAGCAGCTATAAACAGGTATTAATGTTCTCAGTGGAGAAATGCAGCTCTGTATTACAGGGCTAGATCCCAGAAAATATTGTAGACAATATTTTGGCTTTCTTTCATGCCAACAGTTCATTGTAAATGCAGATGTATGAAAAACATTTAGCATCTAAAAATTCTCTTTATTTAAGCTTCCAGCTAAAATGTAATCTTTTCAGCAATTACTACCATAGTGTTATTTCAAACTTGAAACTAATTTTCCCAATTAGCATTACCAAGCCCATTCATAAGTGCACACTTCATAACATAATGGTAAGTGGAGTATCCATGTAGTTACTTGAGAGTGAGCTGTATTAGACAAGCAAAATGTTTAAAAATTTTCTGAACAACGGAGGTAGGAATGACAGGTTCCAGATTATGCTAAGCTTTCTGGTCTGCCTCTGTCATCACAGATTTGGTTCTCCTTATCTGACAAAATAGATTTTCACTCAGTTTTTCACTCCTTAAGTGTTGTTCTGATGGTATTACCTTGTCTGTAGTAACAACCTAAATACTACATGTTTCAATCCAGCACTTCAGATGCAGTGATAATTACATGGTTGAGCCAGAAATACCTATGAATGCAAGTATAATTTGGAGTATGATTTCTCATGCAAAAATAAGAATATGCAGCTCCTATAAAAATCAACAGGGCTCTCTTACTTGACAAGACATTTTGGACTGTGAGAGGAACACACACAATCACACTGTTCTGCCATTTTGAAAGGGACGGTCTTCTACAACAATGCAAAATGAGGCACACACTCTGTTTCAGTCAGTAAGTCTGTTACCCTCAATTGGTTAGCTGTCCCATTCTCCATTGTTCTGATCATCGTTTTCTTCTTCAGAATCAGCAGACACTTTCTTAATTCTCTGCATGGCTGCCTTAATGCTTCTCTCTAGCTCATTAGTGGATCCTTTACTGACATCCTTCTCAGTATCTTGATTCACTTTCCTTAGTTTAACTCCCTGCCTTATGGCAGAGAGGATGCTGTCTTTTACTGAGGCATATGGATTGGCCTGTTCCACTTTGCGAAGATGAACTTCATTGCGTTTTAGAGAAGCCAAAACCTCATCCATGGAACCTACAACAGATAAATCTATTGTTACCAGAAGAAAGAACAAGACAGTCACCCTTAGAGGTATAAAACCCTACCCAAGTGTTTAGGGTTCTTCCTTTCATCTTTGCTAGAGACAGGAAAAAGAATGGTCCGTTGGCACAGACTTTCAGGCTTCTGCAACACCAGGCTCTGGAACTGCACTTAAAAAGCAGTTAAAGCTTTTATACCTTGAATTGAGACACAAATGCCTCCTCAACATTATACAAGGTCGTGCTCTAAGGAAGAAATTATACACAAAGGAGGATGCTTCTTTTTCCTTACAAGTTTATGGATTTTCAAAAAAATCTCTGGTATTCTGCATTAGAAAAAATCTACCATTCCTTCTGGCTGGCTCAGATGCCTGCTGAGACTGTCAATTGCATTTTTGCTCAGCCAAGAGAAAAATGAAAGCATTTAAGTAGAAGGGCTTTGAAACTGCACCACTGAAGTCAGTGGGAGCCAGATCAGGCCCTAAGCAGTCAGAAAGACAGCTCTCTTCTGTACGGACTTAAAAAATAATCCCCATTTTACAACAAGATGTGAATCTCAGGTGTAAGTTTCTGAACTTCAGACTATAAAGGACACCATACTGAGAGAGTTTCCACCAATTCTCTAGATACACACTGTAATTTGCATTTTATTCCTTCTGTTGGATTCTTTGTTGCTAGCTAGACTGCCAGACAGGGAGGCAGCTTCCCTGGACAGCAGTCGACTCTACAGCCATAGGTTCAGACCATCTGTGCCTCACAGCCAGGAGTAGTTTTGTCATGCGCAGTGCACAGAAGTTTATGTGATTAACATCAAGCACTTGAAATGTAACATTCTGCTAAATCCTGTGGTACCTTCAGAGGCTGAGATGCCAGAAATGGATCAAGCAAAGATTCACTAAGTTGTACTACAAAGCCTTAAGTCTATTAATCAACTTAGCTGCCTTCTAAGACTAGTCAGACTAACAAATTAGAAAAGAAGTTCCCCTTGGAAAGTATATCAACACATTACAGACAATATTTTCAGCACCAGAATATGAATTATCTTGGCTTTTCATGTGTAAAAACATGAGTACTCCATGTGTATCTAAAACCAACTAGTTCATGAAGCTGTTTCAGTAAGTTCCTGTAGCAGTATTTTATCAACTAGTAATACAGCAATTAACGTGCTGCTTTTCTTCATGAAATAGGTGTAAACAATCAGATCTCTCCAATAAACAAAAAAGGATTTCTTATCCAAAAATAATGAAAGGACATCAGTGTTAGGCTGTGAATGACAGTAAATATTAGCTATTACCAAGGCTGTTTCATTAGCAATCAGATTACTCTGGTGTACAACTCCTGTTGCTACTCAAAGCTTGTTAAGAGTATCTGTGGTAGTTATCCCACAGGCGTCCCAGACTGAAATCTGCAGACTGACCCACTGGATGCACAGTAGTCTGTCACAGAAACTCAACTGTGCCTCAGGTCTTCAGCTGCTTGTACTTCCCCACACCTTGGAAGAACTGAAATGCTGAACATTCCTTGGTTTGGCCCGTGGTTTGCCTCTTAACTGAGGGGATACAAAGGCTGCTTAGAAGTACTGTGAATAGTCTGAAAATTAAAAGGAATGCACCACATTTAAGGACATGCCTCATTCTAGCAGAAGCTCCCCTGTGAAAAACTACAATAAAAAACTGCTGGCTTCCAACTTAGATCAATCTCCCTGACACAGCCAAAGTATCTGCTTGCTTTAGAGATCAAAATAAGCCGGTTAGCAGGACATAACCAGTGCAGCCTCGGGAGGCTACTGAGCTCTATTCCAATTCAAACTCCTGTTTCAATTGCCAAGTTCAGCCTTCAATTACACCTGCATGATCTGGCTAACAAAGCAGAGGTGTAACAGAGCAGAATTTTTACCTTTTCAAATCCTGGTTGAATTCTGAATGGATTCTCCTAAGAAACCTTTATTTAGAAACCAAGCAAATTTCAAGTGGACACAGGCTGTGCATACCTTAGCCCAACTGCTAGCTCTCTAGCACATAAATCATAAACACTGAAGTGTAGCCTTAGTACAACCACAAATTTACCCACAGTGGTACTCTGAGATTAATAAATACCACATTTGGATCAAGGGTTGCAAAACTGTGGCAAGTTCAAACCTGGTAATAAAAGATGCTTATCACTGAAAAATGTGAATAAAGCCCCTATCCTTGGAAGTCCTTTTGATACCTTCCTATCTATTAGAGTAGTAGGATTTTCAGTGTCATGAGACATTTTTCAGTGTCATTTTCAGGTCCTGAATTAAGATCTTGACAGAACTATTAGTACTGTGATTAAGCATGCATTAAACTAACTTGGTATGGCTATACTTAAGAAATGCAAGATTCCAGAAGAGATTCAAGATCAAATGTGCTAAAACATTGACCTGCCCAATTTGACAGCACTTTGAACAGCTCAGGACCCTGTACAGTGCATCAAACAGAACACTGGAACAGGTTGCCCAGGAAAGTTATGGAAGCCCCATCCCTAGATGTGTTCAAGGCGAGGTTGGATGGGGCTCTGAGCAACCTGGTCTAGGAGGAGGTGTTCCTGCCCATGCAACTCTAACTATTCTATGATTCTATAACTTAACAACTTGAGCAATGGTGTTATTCTGTGTGGCTTCTTAAGACTAAACTTTCCAAGAGCTTCATTCTCTTAAACAAGACTGCACAATCCAGAACCAGAGTGAGGTAGAATAGATAAATACAGGAAACTAAGAAAACATCAGTCAGTGTGAGCCTTCTTACCTAGGCAATGATTTATAGACCTCCTGGATGAGTCATCCTGCTTGTGCAGTGCAGGGCTTTCCATGGAGCTAAGGGACAGTGGCTTATTCTCTGTTGCTGATGGTGTCTTCAACTGGAGAGGTAAGGGAAGAGGTGGGGGAGGAGGAGGTGGGGGAGGAGAGGGTAAAAGAGGAGGTGGTGGTGGTGGTGGTGGTGAGGGCGGAGAGACCATCAATCCCTTGTTGTGCATTTGTTGCTCTGCGTCACCATCAGTAGCAAAAATCTGGACAGGGATATCTTCTGGAGTATTCTGATGTGAAGCTTTTGATTCTTCAGCTTCTACCAGCAGGATGCTTTGTGGCTGCCCTAGGATTGCCCTTGCTTTTGATGGAGATGGAGATGGAGGGGACAGTACTGCAGGCAGCTGAGTGCTGCTTCGTGGCAACGTGGGACTGAGAGGCTGGGGACAAGATGTTTTCAGAACAACATGAGCTGGATACTTCTGAAAAACAAATCGTAAGGCAGGACTTACAACTCCATTGGACTGGCCAAAACATTAACCCAAAAGAGACAAAAAGCTACAGAGTACAGACCTGTCCCATTCACCCATTCAAGCAGAAAATTCAACCCTGAACAGATTTGAATGAATACCAAAGTATTTCTTTCAAAGCCATTTCTTTGCAACAGGTTCTTTGCAACAGGTTCTGTACCTGAAAACTATATCCTTAGTGGATTTCATCCTCTCAACTCATTCCACACAATGTTTTAGGCTATCCAGATGGCTGTCTCTGATTCAGACCGCGCTCACATGTGAGCTATGCCTACCTTCTGACATTGTGTTTTGACACCAATTACTGTAGGTCACAGTACTTGCCTCTCTGTAAGTTTTCAGCCGCTCCAGTGTTTTCTGGCGTTCCTGGCTTATCCAAGCTTTTTTCTTTTTCTCCTCCTCTTTTTGCTTGTCTCTCTTCTGCATTAAAACACAAGTGAGCCTTAGTGTGTGAAAACAAGCAGCTGCCAGACTCTCCCAGGTTGCTATTCAGTACTCACTATCTGTATGCTGTGATGCTGCTGGAAGCGTTTTTTGCTTTCTTCTGCCTGTTGCAGTCTCTGCTGGTGGCTTGCTTCACACTGATCCTGGTAGAACAGCAAAATGCAGGCAATCCTTGGTTAGTTCACATTTACTGTGCACCATCAGTGCCATTAACTCCTGTGCACAAGTCACTAAACAGCAACCATGGCTGAATGCTTGGCTGTGCCAAGAAGGATGGCTAAGCTGAACTAGTGGCAGATGCGAGACCCTACACGTAAAGTATGTGGGATTCCTTCATGGCTAAAGCAAATTAGATCTTTTGTTCTCCTAATTAGTCACAGGGCTATTCATGCTGCAGAAGAAGTATACTGAGATATGAACCAATTGCTCTTACACTTGAATTAAAAAATAGGAAAAAAAAAAAAAGCAAAAAAGCAGAAACAAACTCTAAAGGAATTTCAGCCAGATACCAGCTGGAGGAAAGCAGTGCAAAGCCATGAGGAAGATGGCAAGAGGGAAGCTAGCAGGACATTACAAAAATACAAGGCAACTTTCCCCTCTCCCTTATTTGCCATAGCTCAAAGTACAAAAGCCAGGGAGGGAAAGGTATGGGATGCACCATGAATGCCTCATAGGAGGGCCCTCTCTTGCTGCAGAGGTGGGTGCAGGCTTCATTATTTCTCTGGGAGTCACTATTTGTCACTGTACAGAGGGGGATTATCCACATGGCTGGGCAAGCATTTGTAAATCATCTAGCATTTGGCTCTAGTGTTATGTAAACAATAGACAGCAACTAAGTGAATGAAGTCAGAAGCAAAGGAAGTGTCTGCCAAGGAAGCAGTTGCAAGCAAGAGACATTGATGGCTCACAACACATTTCCAGTGTTATTCCCATTTTGTCCAGGCTAGTGAGAAGTAAAAGGCCAGATGGACTTGAGCTTAAAACTGCTCTCTGCCCCAGCAGGACTGTGCAGGTGTAAGGTAAACCCAGTTCACTGGGAAGGTTCACGAGAGTCAACTGTCAACTCACTTGTATCTTCCTCCTGTTTTGCTCTGAATGGGCAACAAAGGAAATAACTGCCCTTTGCACAGAACTGAGAGGCTGGAGAGAGAAGCGCAGCAGTTCGTTTTCCCCTACCCTTCTTTCCTTCATTGCAGGCAAGGTTTCCTCCTGCACTGCAGCTGCTTTGCAAAAGGTTGCCAGGGCAAAGCTCCAGCTGGCCACAGCAGAGCTCTGGTAAGGTTTAACTGATAGGGGAACAACTCCTGGGTTACCTACCTAAGGTTGTGCTCTCTTAAAAAACTACAGAGGCATTTGCACCACACAGTGGAGTGTAAAGCTGGCTTAACATCACATCACCCCTCTTTCTGTTTGGAGGCCTTGGCACCAAGTCACATACTATCTTGTACACTCCACCAGGCAATCCTTGGTTAGTTCACATTTACTGTGCACCATCAGTGCCATTAACTCCTGTGCACAAGTCACTAAACAGCAACCATGGCTGAATGCTTGGCTGTGCCAAGAAGGATGGCTAAGCTGAACTAGTGGCAGATGTGAGACCCTACACGTAAAGTATGTGGGATTCCTTCATGGCTAAAGCAAATTAGATCTTTTGTTCTCCTAATTAGTCACAGGGCTATTCATGCTGCAGAAGAAGTATACTGAGATATGAACCAATTGCTCTTACACTTGAATTAAAAAATAGGAAAAAAAAAAAAAAGCAAAAAAGCAGAAACAAACTCTAAAGGAATTTCAGCCAGATACCAGCTGGAGGAAAGCAGTGCAAAGCCATGAGGAAGATGGCAAGAGGGAAGCTAGCAGGACATTACAAAAATACAAGGCAACTTTCCCCTCTCCCTTATTTGCCATAGCTCAAAGTATAAAAGCCAGGGAGGGAAAGGTATGGGATGCACCATGAATGCCTCATAGGAGGGCCCTCTCTTGCTGCAGAGGTGGGTGCAGGCTTCATTATTTCTCTGGGAGTCACTATTTGTCACTGTACAGAGGGGGATTATCCACATGGCTGGGCAAGCATTTGTAAATCATCTAGCATTTGGCTCTAGTGTTATGTAAACAATAGACAGCAACTAAGTGAATGAAGTCAGAAGCAAAGGAAGTGTCTGCCAAGGAAGCAGTTGCAAGCAAGAGACATTGATGGCTCACAACACATTTCCAGTGTTATTCCCATTTTGTCCAGGCTAGTGAGAAGTAAAAGGCCAGATGGACTTGAGCTTAAAACTGCTCTCTGCCCCAGCAGGACTGTGCAGGTGTAAGGTCCCAGTTCACTGGGAAGGTTCACGAGAGTCAACTGTCAACTCACTTGTATCTTCCTCCTGTTTTGCTCTGAATGGGCAACAAAGGAAATAACTGCCCTTTGCACAGAACTGAGAGGCTGGAGAGAGAAGCGCAGCAGTTCGTTTTCCCCTACCCTTCTTTCCTTCATTGCAGGCAAGGTTTCCTCCTGCACTGCAGCTGCTTTGCAAAAGGTTGCCAGGGCAAAGCTCCAGCTGGCCACAGCAGAGCTCTGGTAAGGTTTAACTGATAGGGGAACAACTCCTGGGTTACCTACCTAAGGTTGTGCTCTCTTAAAAAACTACAGAGGCATTTGCACCACACAGTGGAGTGTAAAGCTGGCTTAACATCACATCACCCCTCTTTCTGTTTGGAGGCCTTGGCACCAAGTCACATACTATCTTGTACACTCCACCCAAAGCTTCCCTAGTTGTTTCCTGTCCATCCCTCATGATTCAAGACATCAGCTAAAGAAAATGCATATCTCCAGGACTGCATTTACTTTTTTGTTCCTGAGGTAGGCTCTCCTCGCACAGACAGTCCCACGCTTTGTCTCCAACTGCTTAGTCTTCTGCCTCAGCATCGTCATTTCTGACAAGTTAGCGTTATGTTGTCCCATTGTCTGTTCAATGACCTTGAGCTCCTCAGGATTTTCACATGTATCATAGTAAACAACTTCATCCTGTTTCTCTAAAAAGGCATTTGGCATTTTTTTAAAAACCCAAAAATTGCCACAGTTATTGAAACATTTAAAGAACTAACGACATTTTAAAAGCCACTGAAGGCAGTGAGTTAGTTATTAGAAAGCATAATGCTCTGGAGCTGAGCTTGGTCCTTCCAAGCCTTATTCAAACATGTCACGTTACTCACAGGGGTGCTCTGCAGGATCAAATTGATGTTGTTAGCATTTGTTGTTATTTAGCTTCCTCTTTCAAATGTCTCTCTGTGCTTTAACTCCCTACCTTCACCAACTGGAGTTTCCCTGGAAAACTGAAGACTCTTCTGATCAATACTGGGTAACTTATTTTACTGTTTATCAGGTTTTAATTATGCAAAAAGCAGGAAGAATGTTTACTTCATGGTAATACAGAATTTTTAAGTACACAAAAGCATAGACAAGACTGGTGCCTAATTTGGTCATAAATACACTACAAAGAGACACTTAAACTGGAATACAGCATCACTGAGGTACCATCTAGTTATCATCACCCCTTTTTGTCATTACCGGATGTATTTTGCAATGTCTACATGTTAAATTATTACAATAGATTTGTGATTAATTTCAGGACCCATTTCAAGCAGGTCATGATGTCCACAGTTTCTCTGCATTGATCCTATAACTACAAGAGCTGTTCAGTATTTTCAATACAGGTTATTCCACATGCCAAACCAGTGCATGCACATACCACAGCTGCTGTCAACATGAGCTACCAGTGCAGCTTGTTAAAAAACTTTTGTTACCAAATTAGTGTCTAGTTAGGCAGAAGACAAAATATCAAGTGCTACCACAGTATCTATGTTTTCCAATGATGCTTTCTACTACTGAGACCTGAGCAGCGATAATAATTTAATATTTTTAGGTGAAAACACAGCAGGCTATACCTGAGCTTTGGATAGGTGCTTAAATATTTGTTTATTCTTACCTTTAATCTGTCTCCTTAAAGCGTCCAACTGTACAATAAGCAGCATCTCTTCATGTTTCAATACTTCAAGCTGTACATTATATAACTCCAGCTGCGTTTCATAATACTGTATTTCCAGCTCCTCCACTACAGTTAGGTCCTCTTCTTGTTCACTGAGGTTCTCCATCTGTGTAGCCCCAAAGAGAAAATAAAAAGCATTCATAACAAAATATGCACACAGGAAACATGCATGGATGCATAGATACCTGTACAGGGTCTGGCCTAACTGGCAGCTGCTTAGGTGGTTTGGTATGGAAACATTAGAAATATCTTGGATCTAAATCTCAGAGGAGCCCAAAGCCTTACTAAGCCCAAGTGTAAGTTCTCCTTAAGTGTACCAGGAAAGACTTCATAATAATGTGCACAAATAGTACTGCTCCTGAAAACAATGATATATGGTGTGGTACACTGTTCTTGGAAAATAAATACCAAGTACCCCTAGCAGCAGCTAGATAGCATCAAGTCAAGCAGATTAAAATTAAATAAGTATCCTTTTTTTGCAGTGTCCTCTGAAGATAGTATTTAGTTTTAATTTCCCTAAAACTAACACTTTTAATGGCTAGTATCACAAATGCTAACATGACACTTGAACTTAAAAGCATATATCTTCACCTTTGATACATGCCCTCATATATGCAGGAGTAATTTTTTTAAAACTGGAGACATTAATTTTCCATAACTTAAAATCTAAGCTGTTTCATGAACAACAACTTTGAAAGTCTACCCCCATGACCACTTCAGTAGGTTTTGATCAGCCCTTCACAAGACAATGACGGAAAAATGAGGCTTTGCAAGGTCTTACATTTTTCTGAATGCCAGCTCTCTTCTGCTTCAGGCACAACTCTCTTGCCCTCAGATGCTGAAGGGTTTCTTTAGCTAACATACATTTCAGGTTTTCTAGTCGTGGCAAAGCTGATGCCCAGGTGGTTTTACCAAATCTTTCCTGATCTTGTTCCATCTGTTTGTGCATTGCTGCAGATTACAACATTGCAGTATGAAATGAGAAATGCAGTGTATTAATAGCCCTTGTATATTTCCACTATAGCTGCAGTACTAAAAATGCTGATGCTATTAATACAATTTCTGAAGCTTCTTAAGAAATTGCAAGACTAAAAGGCTGACTTTATTAAGTTATATAAGTAAGTAAAATGCTTCATTGTACCACAGAAACATGCCTTAAAAGTTACAAAGCAATCTACTCAGTTAACCTGCTGAATCCTTGAGGCTTGCATATAAAAAGTTAGAGGTGTGCATGGTTTTTGTTCAGAGGTTTTTGCAACTGTAAAGTCTCAGGCCTTGATAATGTTTGTGTGCAAGCCAAATGCAAGTTTGTAAATCAAATTGCTTAGAAACTATAAACCTTAAGTGAATAAAATGCTTTTCTTAAGCTAGACACTCATCCCAACCTCAGGGTCTAAACAGATAGACCAGCAAAGGTGATAAAAAGAGCTCTCAGTCCCCTAAGTATTTACAAGATCTTTGTGCAAATAATTCTGATTACCTGCCAGAGCCTTTACAGTTTCCTTGAAGTAGTTCACAGTGATATCCTGAATGGAGCACACAGCATTCTCAGCTCGCTTAGTCCACTCTTCAGCATCTTTCTGCAAAGCTGCTACTCTTCTAGGCCCCAAATTATCATACTGCAAAGATTTCTGCAAGGAGACAAAATTCTCCGTTACCAACTGGTTACCACAGTGGTGCAGCCCACATTATGCTACACTTTGAGACATTTCAAAGCAGAGCATGGTAGCAAGCGTGACCTTCTCCTTACCTGTCACAAAGGGAATCACTACTCATGTCTATGCCTTGCCCTGTTCCTCATTCTCTAGGCTAACTTAGAACCTTGGTTCCCCAATCACAACTTTGGATTAATTTCTTAAAATATTTTAAAACTATCAACTTAAAAATAACATACAACACAAGTGTTTTTAGTTGTTACTAAAAGTAATTCAAAATCATTCAACGTGCAATGTTCTCTTCTATTTTTCCCCTTGTGTTGACAGCACATTTCACTGTCAGGTTCTCTAGTTTGGCAGTTCTTTCACCCAGGAACAGGGATATAGAAAAAACCATGAGAGTATTTTCCAGTCCACAAAGCATAGATGTGTACAAGACTAGTACTCAATTGTTTTGTTGTTTTTTTTTAAATTACATTTCAAATGAGCTCAAATATATTTGAGTTTATTACAGAAACAAACTTTGTTTCATCCATCACAATTTTCACTTTAATTTTCAGTAGAGCATGTTGGGTATTTTATCTTCACAGTAAACCTTCACAGGTTTACACCTTCACTATCCAAGAACCTATTCTACTCTTTTCAAGAACAGTTCACTTTAATTTTAACAGACTATTTAAGGAAAAATCTAAATAGCAAATGGCTGACTCTTCCACAAGCATCATCACTTTCACCACATGCTTCCAGTTTAAGATGCACATTAAATTAACAAAGTGACAACTGACATGTTTCAACCTGTACTTCTAGCAGGTTGTAGCATCAATACAAAACTGCTTAGTGTGGCAAGGTCTCCTCTGGGTCTGTTCTACCACAACTAAGCTGATGTGGTCCATCAAGTGATGTGGGGGATGCCATTCTCAGTGTCACAAACTTATTCCACTGAAGGTGAGACCCCTGTAAATTCAACCTACCAGAGAGTAAACCGTAGAGAGGTGGAGGTAGGGAATGTTTTCCTTTTAATTCCTCAAAACAGAAGAACTGGGACACTGGTGGGAAAAGAGTTGCAGTTTTATTCAACCCACTATGATGGACTCTGGAATCCTCTAAGGGGGGGGTTCTTCATAAACTCTGAATTATTGTTATGTTTGGTGGCTTGGCAGATACAAAAAAAGTAGGTAAAGACAGAAGTAGAGAATGGTAAGTGATTGGAGTCTAAACTGCTGCAAGAGCAGCTGATGCCCTGCTGTATAACTTGGCCTTTCCCTTTGTGAAGACAGACCTACCAGGATTTCTAGTTTGTACAGCGTTGCGAGCTCCCGCATATCTCTGAAGGGCTGCAGTAAATACTGGTAGAATTGTGTTGCCATGGTGACCAAATCCTGATGAGCTTCATCTTCTTCTTCATAAACCTTCATCAAAGCCACCATTGTGTCAGCATTTTTATGCCGCTGAAGAACCTAGTGGGATAAAAGGTACATCAGACTTGGCTGCTTTGCATTCATGTCTGCTGATGAGTTTTGGTGTGAAGGACCTGGCTTTTTTCACCTGATGGACAGGAAAAGCTTCCCACTACACAGGAGGTGCACACCAGGCTGGAAATGTCACTAATACCACACTGTTCAAGGCACTAATTGCTGCATATTGTATTGGGAGACTGCAAGAACTATGCCTAGAGCTTCATCCACAGAACTCTTCACAGCTGTGTGTAGATGAGTCAGTCACTGTTTTTTATAACAGAAGTGGCAAACTGGGTAAGTCTGTACTGGAAGGACAAGGAATTCCGAACCTTTTGCACTGCCTCCACAAGTGCTAAAAGCCTGCTAATACAAAATAAGTTTCTGGATCCAGATTTTCTGCCTTCAGGCATAGAAAAATCAGATTGCTATTTAAAAATACAAACTCGGATTTCTACTCCTGATAGTCCCAGCAGGTAAATGCCTTTAACATGTGTATAATAGTTATGTACTACACTTTGTAACTTGCAATTCTTCCATATAAGAGCCACCTTTCTGATATTAGTCCTTATTTATGGTCTTTATTTGCTTCTATGATGAAATATAAAGGTGGACACTTCCCCTCAAATACATTTGTTTTCTGGCACCAAACAAAGCTTCAAAGATTTTTCTTTGACACAGCTAATAGGGACCATGGTGGGCTCTATGTACAAGGACAGAGGGAGCCAGCTAAGAGAACACAGTGGAGTTCCAAAGAGAAACACAGTCCCCCCTGGAAGGACAATGTTTGTCCTACTGCTCTGTAAGGAGGGCAGGAAATAGGGAGTGTTTGGTGCTTAAACCATGAGAAAAAGCATTAGTGACGTAAAACTGATTGTGTTGCAACTGAAAAGCACTGAAATTAAACCTTTGCTCTTGCCAGCTGAGTTTGGGAAAGACAGCAGGAACAAAGTTGCCAGCTGTGGAGGCATTTCCTCAGGGAACATCTGTGGAAGGCAGCTCAAGGGCATTTCCCAACGGTTCTCCCTCCAGGCCTGGCACAGGCAGGACAGAGACCAAGATGATCTGAACTGCAACATTCTTGATAATCCCAGAAATCCTGCAGCTCATTAGGCTCCTTCAAGAGCTCATGGTAGCTCAGACAGTCCTAGGGCCTACCTGCAGCAATTCAACAGCCTGCTTTTTCCCTCTAATGAAGCTAAATAGAAACACCAGTTCACTTTCTGGTTCCCACACTCAAAGCAAGTAGTTACAGTGATTGCTTCTCCTAGAGGATGTTTATAGTGAGTAGAGGGGCAGTATTAATGAAATTTTAAAATAATGAGAAAAATATTCATTACACAAATTTGAAGGTTTGGTATTGGGGCAGGGAGAGGGACAAAGTGGCAACATTTCCTCTTTTAAAGTAAAATCCTTGATATTATTTTCATATAACTCTGGTTTGCCATTAGCCCAACAGACTCCTGTGGTTGTTGTAACAGCTACCAGGTTTTTTCCCTTGCCTTTGAAGACACACACAAAAAGAAGTATTTACACAATACTATTCTCCTCTATCTTGTACCACTATCTTCTCATTCTTTAAAATTAGTTTCCTGGGCCAGAGGATGAAGTATTTGAGAAGGACATGGGTGTAAAAAGGGAACAATGCTCTGATACTTAAAACTAGTTTAGTGCCAGAAAAGGCAGCTTTTATTTATTGAATATTGTATAAACCAGTCTAGACTACAACATAATGAATTCGTATCCTTTTTAGGCCTGGAAATACAACACCACTTTATAGCATGTTTAGCCACATCTAAGGTATAGCTGGAAACAGCAGAGTAACTGGTACTGAGTTTACTTAACCATCAACCCCCAAACTGCCCTGTGGCTGTACATGCCTGTGCTGCCTGCAGCTGTGTTACAAGATACCATCCTTTAAAGTCATGCTTAGAACTAGGGGAAAAAATCCAAGACCACACCTAAAGTAAGAACAAACAGTACTAAAGGGAGAAAGGACTAACACCATCACTAGTTCGTACAATCATTCAGCCACATTTTGACACTTCAAAAAACTGAACACAATTTCTCTGACTGCAATTCACTTATTTGGCTAAGTTTGGTTTTAATAAAAAGCTTGACTGGTCCCAGCTACAGGTGTCACTGCAAACAGGCAGCCCTGAGACCTTCATAGGGAGGTAAAAAATGAGAACACAATGATACTCTCCCTTTCAGTTACCATTCCACCCATTGCACAACACTCTGGATATTTTTAGCTATGTGTTTTTGTAGAAGTGCTTTCAGCTTAAGTAAGCACTCCCATGTCTTATACTGACTGCCCACCTGGAGCTGCCTTATTCCCTGCTTAATAAAGTAGTGTTTACCATGACTGATGACACTCCGCACTTCAGAAAGCTGACTTAGCAATTTCCAGAAAACCTAAAAACTGCTTTTGTACGCACTAATCTGAACACCAGACAGCACGATGAACAAGGTGGTAGCAGTGACTTGGTCACCCTTGTTCACCTCCCCCAGAAGTGAGTCTGACCCGAGCAAGTCACGCTCTGGCAGCACAGACCGCCCGTCTCACACCTGCAACTCCCGGGTGAGCAAGAGGCGCCGGGACAGGGGCTCACAGAGGTACAAGTGCCCGCCGGGCTGCGGCACCAGCAGCGAAGGTGGCTCTGCCCCCAGGGGAACCTTCTCCTGCTGCCACGGAGAGCAGGGGCCGGTCCC